AAGGCACTTGGGGTCACCATCCTTCACCCCCTGAAGTCTCAGCACAGTTTTTCCTGCCCTGTGCCTATCACCTTTAGAGGCAAATGCTGCCAGTAAGGCGTCAGACAGAGACATCTGAGGTCAGGAAGCAGAGGAAGAGGGAGGGAGGTGATGGCAGTCATGGACATGAGACCTCACAGTGCAATTCACAGCATAATCCTGGATCTGTGCACACAGGGATATGGTTGTATGTGCTGTGTAGTGCTACAGTGCCTTGGTTTTCTCTGCTGTCCACACAAATGTCCACACAAACTTGAGGTCTCAAAGCAAGGTCTTATGCCAGAGGAAGAAGTTTTCACACATTATCTCCTTACCTGTCTTGCTCTGGACCAGATTTAATTTGTAGGACTGGTGCTGCTGGTAGGTGGCTTCCATAGGAAAATATTGCTGCTGATCCACAACTGGATGCTGGGATCCTTATTAAGATGATGAATTAGCTGAAGAAAATGAGGAGAATGAGGGAGGGCTGATGCAATTAGAACAAGTTTGAGGCTGTGAAGAACTGGCAGTGATGTGTTCTTTACCTGGAATCTGGAAACATTTAATATCAAGTCAGAGAGAAAAGGACAGCACAGATATCGTCCCAGGAGGGGAAAAAAAATGAGGTCACTTGCCTTTGCTGAGGGTTTTTTTCCTAACTTTGGATGTATTGAGCTGTGTAATAACTTGCACATATCTGGAAGCAATGCAGAGCACAGCAATCAATAATACAAGCAACGATAATCAGGTGTTTCAGCCATCTGACACAAGCAGTCTCCAAAGATAATTCTCTCCCACAGGACATTGCTGAACATAACTTCAGTTTATTCCTAGCAAAAAAATAAATGCTTGCCTGCTGTGCAGAGACAAACCTTGCCAACCATTCTCCTCCTGAAAACTGGAAAGGGATGGAGGTGCAGGGAAACCCAGTGGGAACAACCACTGGAGCTGGTGGCGGCCAGCAGAGCTGGTGCAATCTGTCACCCGTCACCAGTGTCCTTAAAATCCTTAGAAAGACCTCAATAAAGAGGAAATTTGTTCAGCAATGCCAGGAGAACAGAGGAAAGCACAGAAGAGTTTGAGGCTGCATTTCATGTTTGTAAAGGACAAAGGATTCTGGCCCAGGGGCACAGTGAATGTGTGTCACTGTCACCTTGGTTCTTGAGTAGGTTACGCTGCAGTGTGAGCCCAGCTGGTCTCATAAAGCTGCCCATGAATGAGACAGCACTGAGAATTCCCCCTGCCCCTGTGTGGAATCAGTCCAGATCAGGGCAGCCAGAACCAATCCCAGGTATTTATTGTAGAATTACAGAAAAGTTTGGGTTGGGAGGGACCTCAAAGAGCATCCAGTTCCACCCCCTCTTCCATGGGCAAGGACACCTCTCACTATCCCAGGTTGCTCCAAGCCCCATCCAGCCTGGCCTGGAATTCTTCCAGGGATGGGGCAGCCAAAGCTGCTCTGGGCACCTGTGCCAGGGCCTCAGCACTCCCTCAGGGAAGAATTTCTTCCTAATATCTCATCTAAACCTACTCTCAGTTTTAAGCCTTTATCATGTCTCTGGTTAGGGTGGCTGTTGTTTTCTTTTTCTGTTAGCTGCTAACAGAATCTTCCTGCTACCAGCCTTGCAATTAAAAATATATATAAATAAAGTAAAATTAAAGTAACTCAAATTGTTAAAAAGTAAAATAAAATAAACACAGGGTGGGTTTTAACCACTTGTGTGGCCACATTGCTAACAAAAAAGCAGAGAGGAGCTTTGGTCATCAGACACCATCAATGCTGAGCTCTTCCCCTAACAGTAATACCACCATTCATAATTGGCTGTAAAAATGAGATGCTTCTCAAGCTACTAAAATCCAAAATCCCTTTCTCATTCTGCATCACCAAAATGACATTTATGTTATTCAGGATTGCTATCCCCTTTCAACCCAGAGCAGTCAGCAATAGCACATAAATTTTTATGCCTGTCCAGTACAAGGCACTGCATAAAAAGAGAGGGCATAAATGATGTAATTGATGTGAAAGTTTTTGCCATGCCCTCCCAAAAAGCAGGAAGATTCACTGCAGGTGGTGAAGGAGGAACTCTGTGCCTCCTGTTTGGAGCTTGCCTCCTGGGAGCTCCCACAAACCAGGCTTGTGCCTGCACTATAAAGTCATTCACTCTGCTGAGGAGTCTATTAGTAAAAAGGAGAGAAACAATGATTTTCAGATGGCAGAGTATGAAATAATCAATACTTCTCCTTATTCACAAGCAGAAGAGTGGCAGATAAGGATATATACCAGTCACAGATGCAATGTTTAATAAAACATCTTGGTCTTTGTCACTCTAGGCAGTTTTCTGCTACATTTTATAGGTCACAGTCCATGAAATTTCATAGGAACTTTCACATCTATTCTCTGTAGCAGAATATGACATTTATTTGTTATTAAACCATATAATTTAGGGAGGATGAAGATACTTTATCCAAAACAACATGTGAAGTAGTCTTTCCAACTACAATTTCTCTCTAATGTATCTGTATTTTGGGACCTCTATATAATCCTGTGAGCATCTTTATTTTTTTTCCTAATGGGAAATAATAGAGGAATATAATTTTATAGTGATTGTATGATAACAGGCCAAGATATTTGTTAAATTCAGGGTGCAACCTTTGCTTGTTTTTTCACCTGCTGAGGCAGACTGTCACCACAAAAAACTGTCAGTTTAATCATGAGAAACATGAGCAGTGGGGAGTTAATCGTGGTAAGTCAGTGCTAAGCATTGATCCACTCCCAAACACCTGGAAGTCAAGAGAGGATTTGTGGTGGGCACAGCTTTTATTGCTTCTGGCAGATGCAGAGGAGAGAGAGGTGAGTGTGGAGTGGAGGAAGGATCTAAGATTGAGAAAAAAGCATGGGAAAATGTCTCTTTTCTGTCCAATCCAGTTGGTTTGTAAGAGGATTCACCAACTTTCATTAATCAAATGTGTCCTTGATGTTTTGGTTGTAGAACATTGTCCCATAGGCCTGATGCCTCTTTTGGAGTGTGTAGAACCTGCTGGCTGTCAACTAAACTCCCCTTATGTATGGTTTTTATATGTAAAAATCCTTTGGACCACACCTGGGAGTCAGAGGGTGAAGGAGAGAAAGAGAAACACACAAGAGAAGGGAGGAGTGGGATTCTGGATGTGTGTCATTACAACAGAACAGGGTTGTGAGTCATTGAAATTGCTGGTTTGTCACAGCTTCAGTGGTGGCTTGAAAATTCCCTTTTTATCCCTAGGTCCATGTTCTGGAAAGGTATTGCCCCATTCAGTGAGGAGCTAGCCCTGGAGGGGTCAGCAGTGCATGTCCATGGAGCTGGTCCTTCCTGCAGCTGGCTGGGGCACAGAGCAGCTTGCCTGACCTGCAACTTTCTTATTAAAACCAGAGAAGACAGTGCTATGTGAAAGCCCTCAGGGCTTGTAACCTTACTGAGATAATCTATTTTGGGGAAAAAAAAAAAAACTGTAGAGATTTTTTAGCAGCCCAAACCGTGTGAGGGTCTGTAGATAGCTGTAGTAATTCCTGCTCGCTCAAATCGCAAAGCACACTGCTATCAAAATTTAATCTGGGTTTTTGGTGAATAATCATATTTCACTCATTTTCCTCCATACTTCTGCTTGAGATAAATGAACCCCTTCTGTGCCACCACCAACCCAGAATTCATAGGCCAATATTTTACATCTAGGGCCAACAAATGTGGGGAGTGGCATTTTATGACCCATCTCAGTAGCATTTCCAGCATCTGCCTCTCAAATTCACTCACAGCCTTGAGTTCTAAATGAGATGACAGCGGTCACTTTATCAACCAGCATCACCTTTGTTCATGAGACACCAGGATCTGGCAAGAAGAGTCTTAACTTGGCAGGGAACTACCTGGGAATGGCTCTTCTTGGAAAGGGAGAACCTCTGGCAGGTGACCAGCGCTGCTGCTGAGCTGCGCGATGTCTGATTTTCATCCCTCCACATTCAGGCCTTTGGCAGCACTTCATGGAAATCTGTCTGGGTTAGATCTCCACTCTCTTGGAGAGACGGATTCCTCATCTGGGGCTGGAGGTGCTCTCGCAGTGGGAGGAAGAGGAAGTAGACAGGTGGGGTTTCATTTTTGTGTCTGGATTGGAAAGCGTGCTAGATGTGTATCCAAATACATGTGGTTCTCCTGGATTTTCCTGGTTTCTTCTTGATCTTCTTAGGCCTTCTACCCAAGTGCATTCCCCTTTCCTATAAAATCCCCAAAACAGCTGTGAGTTAGGCATGGAGGTGCTAGTTTTACTTCCAATCATGGTGATTTCAATCAGTTTTCTGCTAAAAGATATTCTTCAAACCATCTTTTTCTCAGAACAAAACAGTTTACCTCAGTCCTTGCAAACTTTGACAATCACCCTGAATCTTGGAAATAATACCTTCCATCTGATGTGGTTTTGATTATACACGTACCTGTTTCTTGCATACCATTTGTAAGCAATTATAGCCTAAGTGAATCAAAATCCCTCATCTTAATAAAAGTTAGAACTTTCATGTGTCAGAGGTGAAATATATTTTGGTACAGTTCTCCTCTGTGTGAGTGTATCTGTACAGATATTAATCACACAATCTTTACAGGGATTTGCTATGAATGAGCAGGTATATTATTATATTATAAAGGCAGGCAGTGAATATTACAGTGAATAGTTTCCTGTTAACACAGAGCATCACTGCCTCTCTGTGAGTAGAGAATGACTTAGCTTAAAGGAACATCTTTCATCTGTGTAAATGGTTTACTGGGGGGCATTGCAGATAGTTCTGAGTAGAATTTTTTTTTCCACAGAAACTGAGCTACAAGGATAACACAAGTAATTGCATTCTCTAGTGCCTCCCAGTGCTACACATGTTATCTTCAATGGGAAAAATCAGCTATTGGCAGCCTGGTGAATTTAGTAATTGTAACTAATAGGGTTGTTTCTTCTTGCCTGTCTTTCAGGATGGAATGGGGAACCTGAGGATCACAGAAAAGGGTCTGAAGCTTGAAGGAGATTCAGAATTCTTGAAACCTCTCTACGCCAAAGAAATCCGATCAAGACCAGTAAGTTTTTGGGAAAGGAACACGTTTGTTTCTGTAGCCCTTACAGAAAGAAACCATGAAATGGCAGGGTGACATGGCTACTGGATAAATTGCTTTGGCCCTTGGCCTCCCTATACAGATGCAGTTGGGAGTGAGGCTTTGAGGGCTTGATCCAGACACTGCATCCTCTGGGCAGTTCCAAAGCTGATACCGTGGCTCTGGCTTTTGTAAGTCACAGTTAAAACTCTTCAGGACCTCTGAAGTTTCACACTGTCTTTGCTTTCTTTTGAGGTAAATCCTAAACAACCCTCAACAGGAGGAGCTGTTCTTTCTGAGGCAGAGGGATGGCTGGCAGCTCTGGAATGCAGCTCACTTTTAACCAGTTACAGCTTATCTGGATAGCAGAGAGGTGGTGCTTTGGCACAAGGGCCTGATCTGTTGTTCATTAGCACAATGAACCCATATTATGTCCTCAATCCTATTTCATGTTGGTTTAAAAATATGTGTAGTTAAAATTCAATGCTGCTAAGAGTGACTGCTTGACAAAAGTGGCAAGAATGTTAACTACTGGAAATGAGAAAGAACCCAAGTGTGATTGAAATAACATTTTCATAGCAGCACTTTGTTGGCTGTTGGTGACTTTTGGTCTTCCTAATGCAATCCTGTATGTCCTGAGCAGCTTTAAAATAACTGGAATAATTACAGAGTTTCCAGGATCTGTGTCAGAAGATATCATCTGTCTTGTTTCCTGATCTAAAGTGTTAATTTGAATCAGATACCAACCTTCCATTTTGATAACAATGGCAGATAGCTAATTAAATAAACTTAGCATCCTTTTATCTGAGCATTTCAGTGCTCTTGTAGAAATTGGAACTTGGAGCATAATGAACAAAACAGCCAATACCATGCCCCGTTTAATTATTGAAGGTTGTAACCTCTGTAAGATGGCTAGGAATTCATTTGAACAAGCATAATCATTCAGGAAGAAAACTTAATAAGAAAACCTTCATATCTATAAATGCTTTCAGACCTGAATTAAAACAGAACCTGTAAAACCTTACATGTCATTCACCTTTTAATAAAAAATATGTGGGAACCAGGTGCAGCAGTTGGTTTGATAAATAGGCTGACAAATCACTACCTACATTTCTTTTTCTGTAGTTACATTGATGGAAATAATATTTGATTGCTAAGAGAAGTGAGAACTACTTCTTGCTCCTGGGGAGTTTACTGTTTTCATATTATCACATTGATCTACATTTTAATACATCGGGGGTGCAAAAGGTGTCCCTTTCCTGGGGCTGTTGAAGTAATTTCCACACACCATTGACAGATTACTGAGTGCAAGGAACAAGAAGTGTAAGGTAAGGCCTGTGTGTGTTCCTTCCTTGCTTTATCCCCTTCCAGGATTATTTTTGCTGTTAGCTGGAGGAGGGTAGCTGCCAGCCAGAAGCTCTGATCTGCAGTCTGAGGAGCTGGAAACTGTGTTAACCACATAGTTACACAAACCATGCTCATTGCTCCTCCAACTTTTGGAATAAACTGGAATAGCCTGTGCTGGCTTTTAGGTTGTTTGTGGTAACCCTGGAATTGTTTTTGGGCTGGGGGCAACAGCAGAGATCTTAGTGCATTCAGACAACTTCTGCTTTCCTGTGCTGTGTGTGAATTTGGCCTCTTGAAAGCAAATGAAAGGATTGCAGTCAATCAAAGGTTTGTAGTACAGAATATTTGAAAATATTGTTAAATAATCAACACTCCATCTTTTTAAAGAACAGTGGTATGACCCAGTGTTGTCTTGGAGGGAAGTGTGGTAGCAGTTCCTGAACCTGTTGAATATTGTTAAAATGAAGTGCCAAACTCAGAGCTCAGCAACAGATGAACATCCATACTAATTCTAGAGTGAACTTCCCTGGGTTTTCAGAAGTGCATAATGCAGCTTTAAATATGTGAAGAGTAACAGAAACAAATCTGACAAATAGCATAGTGAAGAGAATCCCAGAAATAATCTGACATATACAATTTTTCATATGCTTAATTAAACAACCTAAGAGTTGTGTACAGTAATAAATAATGGTTTCATATAAACTCCAAAGACTTTTAGATGCTGGTTATTTATAGAATAATTAATCTCTTTTTTTATAAGCTCAACAAATTTAACTTCAGTACTGTTCTATGTAGTAGGTGAAGGAGCATTGCTGCTGCATGGAAAGAGGGGAAAATTACTTTTCCTACAAGTGGCTGCAGTTCCATGAGCTCTGTACCCTGGTTTTTCCCACTCATGTGTCTCTGTGGTGCTGTTCCCCCATGTGCTGCAGAGTTGCACACAGAGCTGGGAAACCCCTGCCAAAATATCTCCAAAATGGGAATTGTGATTATTCTTGAAAGCCTGAATTTGTCACTGGTGCCTCTTCTTCTCTGCTGCATCTCTTGAATCCCAGGAAGTTGGTAATTAAAATTACACCCAGATTTGCTTTCCTAGGAGCTCTGCCTTCTGTTTTAGTGATAGTTTCGGATTTCCACTTAAAAGCGGATTTTTTTTTCAAATGGATTTGGCTGGGAGGGAAGATCAAGGGTTAGAGAGGAGGAAAAGCCCTCCAGTATCATCCGTAGAGACTGCTGGGTGGGCACCTCTGAGCTCCTGTAGTTTGTGCCTTGAAGAGCCCTGCTGGGTCCTGCTCCCTTCATCACCTTGACAGACAGAGGAGCTGCACTGAGATGTGCTTCTCATTCCAACTGAAATTCCAGATTTTAGCAGAAGGGTTGGATGGATGTGGTTTGGCCCGTGGCAGAGAAATCACTGACATGAACTGAATCTGCTGCCAGCCAGTTTCTTTCTGCATCTGACACCCCCAAGATTTGCTTCCTTTTTCCCTCACCCACTGAAGAGTGACCCCCCAAATTCCTTCTGGTTTTATACAGAGAAGAGGATCTCTCTTCCTGCTGTTTTCCATCCTAGTCCTGGCTCAGTAGTACTGGATTTGTAGTATGGATTTGGAACCTGTTTTCAAGCATCAAAATGGAAAAAAAATGGAACGTTGCCATTTTACAAGCCTAAAGTTTATCTGGAGGTTAATGATGGGTGGTAGCAGTGTTTGCACCCTTGTAGCTTTCTTTTAAAGAAAGGAGATGGATGGGATCCCTTTTCCCAGAGTGTTCAGAGCATTCTGAACTCCCAGCTGAACATATTGCTCACTGAGCAGTGTTTTTTCCTTGCATGGAATATGAGCATCTTGCTGCCTTTAATTAAGAAGATAGCTGGGCCATGAAGTATTGCCTGTGTAAATAAAAGTGATTTGTACTTAGTCAAGGAGCTGCATTAGGAATTCTCACATTTCTTTACTTACAGATAAATTATGAAGATTATTAAAAATTGGAAGGGTCATCTATAAACCCATCTGTAGCTCAGCTGCACTGTCACTCTCAAAATGTAGCTGTCTTTCTAACTGTTGTAATTTATTGTGGACTATCGTGTGAACCATCTGCTTGCTTATAAATCAGACCAACTTTTGACTGAAAGTTGTACACAGCAGTAGAAATCGTTAATTTTATGTCCTGGAAAGTAGTGGCAACAGTTTAGGGGACTTCAGTCTCCATTGCCTTAATTGGAATAGAAATTTAAAACTGGAAATTTTCCTGCCTGTGTTGAGACGAGCTGCTGAGAAGCAAGTTGCTTGCAATTTAGAGTTAGCCCAGATTTAGCTTTCTTAGTGCAGCTGGGGTGTTTTGAAGCCTGGCACATCCAGGTCTGTAAGGAACTTGAAAGGGGCAAGACACAAAACAAGCTGTGTGCATTTTCCATCCAGATAACAACAGAAATAAAATCCTGTGCCGTGATTGCACAGGAAAATCCAGTGAATTGCTTCTCTCAGGAGCTGTCTGACAACCAATGAGATGATAATCTCAGTTTCAGGAAGCAGAGAAAAACATTGCCATGATAGGATTAGGATGGGTTTGCCCTTTCAATGTTCATTCCAAGTGCATAGATAGGAAAGAAAAATAAACTCAGTTTGCAAATGTTTACACCTGGGCTTTATTTTTCTTACACTGAACACTTTTAAAGACAAGAATATGGATTTGCCTGAGAACTTTGGCTTTGCTTCAGTAAAAAGCACTTGACCTCCCTTAAGCTCTCTTTCTCCTATTGATGGGTCTGGGAGCACAGAATTAAATATGGGCACCAAACTTTCTACCTGGGAGAGCTCCAAGCTCTGCTGTTGCACAGGTATAAGGGATGGCAAAATTCTCTGAACAGATTTTGAGGAGATTTTCAAGTGTCTTTATAAAGAGACCTCTTAGTGTATGTAGCTGGTTTCATGCTGAAGGTTTGCTTCTGGTTATTTTTAATCAGCTAAAGAAAAAGAGTTTAAAAGAAACACCCAATACATCAAACTAAAAAGAGGCAAAGGACTGTGTCTTTGTTATTTTCCTTTTTGGGGGGATGTTAGAGGCCCCTGTCCCACTCAGTGTGGCAGGGAGTGTCTCTCTGAGAGCACCCTGCTTGCTCAGGTTGTTGGAGCAAACCTGCCCTCATTTGAAGCCTTGCAAAATAACTGGTGACTCCAGTGGAAGGAGGGCTGGGGCTCTAGTTAGTGTCACTAACACTTGCCTGGGATTCTGCAGGGGCATCTGTTTGGCCTGAAAAATTCACAGTTAGAATTAGGGCTGATAACTGCTATTCCCTTTACTGGTGTTTAGTAAGTTCTTATCAGAATAAAAGCTAGACCAGCAAGTGCCTAAAATATGTTTCTCTGTCCTTTGCATTCTCCCCAGCCAGTATTTGAATGATAAAAATTTTAAAGGAAGCTTTTAAGGGTGATAAATAATTATTTTGCCAATGTACTCGTCTCACTATGTTCAGTTCTGGAATAAGAGTGCTATAATTTAAAAGCACAGAAGCACTTCTGTAATGGCTGTATTCTTTGGTATTATTTGCTCTGCAGGTCTACCTGCCTCCAAGCTAAAAATACTGACTGCAAAACAATAAACCATGTATTTGGATTAAACAGTGACATGTGCCCACA